GAGAGAGAGAGAGAGAGAGAGAGAGAGAGAGAGAGAGAGATTTGGTACATCGAGACTTGGTGACATCGAGATTCAGACTTGACATATGGGCAGCGACATTGTGGGGAACTGTTTTGGGATCGGTATCGATGACATTTTGGGTTGGCGACATCTCTACTTTCTCCCACCCCCTCTTCGTCTCTCCTCCCTCCTCCTCATCCATGTCTGTCAGTGCCTGGCGCTTCATCTCTGTGTGATAGCGCCAGGTCCCCCTTCACACCGTGTGAGGATGATGATGATGTTCAGTCTGTGTCCCGACATTGATTGGGTCTGATTGTTGGTATTTCAGTCTTCCCCTGTGCTATCCTTACTACAACTGTGAGAGGTCGGTTCTTGGTTCTGGTCTGCACCATATTAGCATGCGACATCCACAGGACCCGTAGCTGTAACACTGCCACTAACACTCCCCCCCCCCCCCCCCCTGGGCCCACCACCCCCCCCCCCCACCACCAGAGAAAAGTTTCGAGTTTCTTTGCGGATTCTGACTGTTCTGGGCGAGCGCAGTCGAACCCTGATTTCAAATAAAAAATATATATTTTTTGGATGAGCCCAACCGGAATTCCAGTTGGAGGACCTGGGTTGATCTGGCCCAGTTGCATGGGCTGGTCCAACCGACCGGTGCCGGCTCAGTACTGGTTTGAAATGCAACCTTACACAACATATGTTTTTTGAACTTTTTTCCTGGATTATTGTGAATGTTCTTTCTCTCCGTTTTTTAAATACTTTGAGCTGGGATTGCCCAGGCCCGACATTGAGCCTGGGAGTGTACCCGGGCAGCCAGATTCTGCTCAGGGCGCCCAGATACTAGCAAGAGTACATTCATGAAACAAGTATGGAGAGGAAGTCTGGAAGGCACAAAGAGAAGAAAGGCTTGTTTTTATTCATTTCTTCTAGGTTACTGACCTGGCGACCTGTCTCCCTACCGCATGCCCAAAATTTCCTGGGCCTAATTCGCCCCCCATGCGGGTCCAAAACCGGCCTAGGCAATACAATTTCAGGCTGCATAATCGCCCAGACCATCTCCTGAGGGTCTGAGTGGCCCGAAGCAGGCCCAAGAGAACATTTTGGCCTTGGCAGCTCTGGCGCAGATGCGAAATCCAAAAGCCTCTCCGAGTGCAGCATGTGGGAATGGTTGGTTTCCCCCTCCTCCTACACATTCTTCTTCATGGTAAATCAAAAGGAGCACAATTTGTTTCCGCTGAACAAGAAATAAAAGTTGGTTTCCCCATCCTCCTCCACGTTCTTCTTCATGCGCTTTGCTTGC